TGTGCCAGACAGCACTAGATACTTTTCTTTTTTTTTTTTTCTTTTTTTATTTTTTTGAGACGGAATCTATCTCTGTCACCCAGGCTGCAGTGCAATGCAGTGGCCCGATCTTGGCTCAATGTAACCTCCTGGGTTCACACAATTCTCCTGCCTCAGCCTCCCGAGCACCTGAGATTACAGGCATGCTACCGTATCCAGCTATTTTTTTTTTCGTATTTTTACTAGAGACGGGGTTTCACCATGTTGGCCAGGCTGTTCTCAAACTCCTGGCCTCAAGTAATCCACCCACCTCTGCCTCTCAATGTGCTGGGATTATAGGCATGAGTCACCATGCCTGGCCAGCACTAGCTACTTTCATTTATACGTGCTGGCTCATTCAGCCTTCCCATTACCTCCACTTATAGGTGAGGAAATTAAGTCTAAAAGAGGTTATGAGTCTCACTAAAAATCAGTGAACTAGTAAGTGGTAGAGAAAATAACTTGAACTTAACTCACCAGAAGAGCTTTCAGAGTCAAAGAATTAAATAGCAGTGATAGCCATATTTACAGCAATCTATTTTGGATCCTGCAACAATAAAAAGAAAAGTTTCAGGATTGACCTTAGTCTTATCATTGATGCTAAACTCGATGATGGTGCTGGGTTTGGCATAGGTCAAGATGTTAAGAGGTTGGCAGAACTCAGGTCAAGAGAGTATCTAGAGCAAGGTGGCTGAAGGGAATGAAGAGAAACGGGATCTGCTGAGTGATGAATGGAGTCAACGTGCTGCAGAGAGCAAAGCAGGATCAAAAGGACAATGTGAGTTACCGAGAAGACAGTGATTGAAATAGGAGAAAACAAATAGTGGAGATTCGTGGACAGGAAAAGAATTGATGGAAGATTGAGCTTAGATAGAGCAGAGATGGAGCAGAAGATGGCACTCTCTTTTCCTCAATTAGAGTTTATTTATGTTCTAGAGATCATCTGGAGGCTTAAGAAGAAAGACTGTTAAAAAAATTACTTAAATCATGGGAAGCTGAGAAAGGAGGATGGAAGGAAAGAAAGAAGGAAAGGAAAGGAAGAAGGGAGAGAAGAATTGACAGACAGAGGGGGCGGGGAGGTTTTTGTTTTAAAGTTTAAATTATATTCTCTGCGAAAGTGCGGCTAGTGTGAAAACAGTGCCTGTCTCAGTAAAAATTCATTAAATATGTGATGGTTCATTGGCAAAATACTTATTTTGCATCTCTACCCTATGTAGGTTACTGTACTAGCTGGTGTGCACACTGCGGTAAGCAAGACACAGTTGGTCTTTGATATTTGGGAGTTCCCAATCTAGTAAGGAACATACGCATCAAGAAAATGCTCTAATAAATGGACAATTATTAAAATATGGAATGAGTGCAATTAAAATGGCTATAAGGAAATATGAAAGGATGTAACAGAGAGTACAGCAAGAGGCTAACTTAGCCTGGGTGGGTGGTTATGTTAGGGAAAGTGCTTTGATTAGCAAAACTTAGAGACTAGTAAAAGATAGCTAGTGAAGACTGAGGAAAGTCTCTCCAGGCAGAAGAAAGAGTCCATTTGAAGATGCTGGGGCAACAAGAGCTTGAAGTATTTCAGGAAGAGAAAAGAGATTAATATGGTTGGAATCAAGTGGTGGTGGTGGTGGGGATTATGGGACATGAGACTGGAGTGGAAAACAGTGGGTGAGATCCATAAGATGATTGGATTTACTTATGACATTCAAGAGAGCCTCATATGTGCCGGACAGTTTCATACACATGATCTCATTTAATTCCCACAATGATCTTGAGAAGTGGGTACTACTTTCCCCATTTCACAAATGAGAAAACAAAAGACCTAGTAGGAACTATAAAGTGACTTGACTCCATAGAGAAATAGCAAAGATGATTTCTAAACCAAAATCAACCAGCCTCTTGGGCCTCTGGCTTTTTCAACTACATTAGGCTGCCTCAGTCAGGTGGCCTGAATAAAAGGGATTTTTAAAACAGAGTAGAGTATGGCAAAGGGGGAAGGAGGATAGAAAAAATATTTCAAAACTACCTAGAAAGGCAAATATGAAAGATGAAAGAAGAGGAAGCATTTGCTAGAAAGACTGGAAAGGAGTTAGAACGAAAAAGAAATTTATATCAGTGGAGTCAAAGATGGGAGTACAGGGAACCCTAAAAGAGAAAAAATTAAATCAATAATGAAATATAACTGAACAAAGAGGGGAAAGGAGAAGGGGTGAGAGGGGCTGAGAGGGAGAAAAGTAGTGGTCATAAGACAGGGGATTCAAGTATGAGTAGGGAAGTTATAGCATACTGGGAATAAGGTGCATGCAAAGGGCTGAGGCCAGGAGGAGCATTCTGTGACAGAGCAAAGATTTGGGAGCCAAATATTCCTATGTTTCACCACTTGATAACTTCATGACCAAAATCAAGTTTCTCAGCTTCCCTGAGCCTCAGATTTCATATCTATTAAATAAGGATAAAAAGCCTTGCTCCAAATGTTGCTGAGATTATACGTCAAAGCAGTAGTTATAATTTATTGAGCACCTACTATGTGTTAAATACTTTACATAATTATTTCTAAAGCCTCACAGCCACCACAAGGCAACCGTTGTTATCATCATTCATTGATATGTTACAAAAAGTTCTGGATCACAGAGCATGTGTTCAGAAACATAAGTCATTTCCTGTGGACATTCCAGATTTGACAGTCTATGAAATAAAGTTGGTACTCCTTGCCTGCCTTTTCTGTGTTGTCTTCAGTTACTCCCTTTCCCCCTCACTGAGCTTAATTTCCCATAATACTCCTTGCTTTCTCTGCCCTCCCTTTGTTTCCACAGTCCGTGTTCTCAGCCAGGTGTTTCAGTTGCAAGCAACAGAAACCAATCCTGAATAATTTAAGCAGAAAGAGAATTCAGAATTCAGTTAAGCGATTATTAGATTCCTTAGAATCCCCAGAAAGGCATGGGATCTGGGTTTAAAGGGCATGAAGTCAAGAGCACTACTCCAAATCATAGCACAGAACTGGATTGGTGGAGATATTGTTTCAGCCGCAGCCAAGCATAAATAGGGCACTTCACACTATTGACATAGACGTCACTGGGCTCCAAATAGTGCTGTTAGAACCTTTTGGCTAGCAGAGACACCTGGATGTAATTGCCCCAACTATTGCCCTTTTGGCTGCCAATGGATTCTGCCTGATTCTGGCTTATTTTCCAGCATCTGGGGTGGGTGAATCTAATTGGTGAAGCCCGGGTCATGTGCCCAAGCCCTAGCTGCAGTGGAGGCTGAGAAAGTATCCAGAAATGTTCTTCATGGGAGGTGGGCTGTGCTTTAAAAGATAAAACATCCTCTGATGTAGGAAAGGGATTTATTCGCTTACTAAGCAGTTGCAAAGAATGCCAAATGCCAACTTTAACCTGCAATGCCCACTCCCTTGCTACTAATCTTTATGGTTCAACTCCAAGCCACCGCCTCTGGGAAGCTTTCTTTGATTTCTCCAAGTACCTCATCTTAGTGAAACACACGTCTGCCTGCCTGCCTGTTACCTGAGATATTTATGTGCCTGTTTCATTCCAGCATCCCACCCCCTCATCCCAATCATTATAAGCTTTGCAAAGGCAGGAGTTGTGTTTATCCATCCCTGCATCTCCATATAGCACCTGGTAGGCACCCTGAATATTTGGGGATGAATGAATGAATGAATGAAAATGTTGATCTCGTTTGACAGGCCTTTGTACCAGAGGTCCATGAAGGACTTGTACAGACTCTGCCTTACATAAGGGAGCCCTTTTTTCCTGGTTGCTCTTCTATAAATGGACTATGTCAGCATATTTGAAGAAAGGGGCATAGAGAATCAGAAAGCCCCATTGCGATGGATAGTGGCGGATTGTAAGTACACAAAGGAGAGACTGAGGGAGGCAGGGTGACATTATTTTGGAGGAGTAAATGAACTCAAGCAGGCATCAGAGAGGCAGGAGACCGTTTAGAATCAGAGGACTTGAAAGGCCAGATTCCACCCCCACCTCCACACACCCTCTGGGTTTACAGATTAGTAAACTGAGACGGGAGAAGTATACCTTACAAACCATGCAAGGAAGTAGATCCAACTGTATTCATGCCGATTTACCTGTTACAGCATCTTTGATGGGTGGGGTTTTCCAAGGTCACTGAGGACTGTACTTTAAGGGAAATAGTCAAGGCTTGAAGTCTACTGTTCAAATTTCAGCTCTTCAGCTCATTAGCTATATGACCTTGGAAAATCCCTTCACCTCCCTGACCACCTGATCTCAGTTTCCTCATATGGAAAATTGGAATCAAAATATCCATCTTGTTGGATTGTGGTCATGTAGAAAAGCTAACATATGCACATGTCTAGCAGTTGGAGAATGCTTTAAAAACACTATTATTAAGTCCAAGGTCACAGAACAGCTTTTGTTTTTTTCCTTATTTTCAGTGCTCTGCCTTTATCCAACATCATTAAAAAAATGTGATGAGAGAGGAGAAAAGCAATTTATATGAAGGGTTAAAGATAGAAAGGGGGAAGAGACAGAAGAGGGAAGAGCTAAGAGAAAAGTGAATGCAGAGAGAGAGCACAAAAGGTGCCAATGGGTAAGCTAGACAGAGATGAGAAATGGCTCACAAATTATAGGGAAGAAGCATTTATAAGATTAAAGTCAAGATGAGGAGGAAGGAAATGAATGGAGAGATGAAACAGAAAACAGAGACAGGGAAGATAGAGAAAAGCAGGGGAGGGGGGAAGGGGGTGCACGGGCACTTGACCCCTGCAGAGGTGTCCGCTCCCTGGAAGGCCTCAGGTATGTGGGTCAGAGACAGAGTCAGCCCAAGACCAAAGGGTGCTGTGTCTGAGGACCTAGCTCAACTTGAGTCTAGAAAGACTGCTGGTGAAGAATTGGTGAGCACTCCAGTTCTCTAGGACTTGGGCAGAGGATCTAAAAGCCCCGGGAGCCAAGGACAGACAGAATAGTAGGTCTCTACCTCACACCCTTTTCAGGAATTTCACACAGAGAGCAGAAGCAGCCAAGAAGCTGGGAGCAGGGATCCAAAATAAAAGAGCGTGAGTGGGCTGACTTACAGGGCTGCAGCTAGGGGGCCAGAACAGCCCGGCTTCAGTCAGTTGGGGGTCGGCGTTAGACGGTGGAGTTCGACGCCCCTCTGGCCATTAGCAATTAGTGCTAGCACCAAGGCCTGGAAGGAAGGGAGAGGAAGGGTGCGGGCAGTGGGAGAATGAATGCGGGAGTTGTGGCCAAGTGGGTGGGAAGGGGGCCCTGAGGCCACAGGAAGTTATTTCAGAGACTAGAAAAGGGTAGGAGATTGGAGACAGGACTTGTTCTTGGGCCTAAGGGGAGACAAAGTTAAGTCTTGGCCATCCCGGGGGCTCCCTATCCCCAAGAAGGCGGGGCCTTGAGCAAGGCTGGGCCAAGGCGCGCCCCCAGGTGCAGCCTCTGGGTTGAGCCGAAGGTGGGGTGAAGCCAGGAGAGCTGGGTTGAGTCAGGGGGGTTTGGGGGGACCTGAGGGGGCCCTAAGTATTATGAATTTGGGGAGTTTAGGGAGGGGCGTTGTGGCTAAATAATGCTGTGAAGGCGGGATTGGGGGATCCTGGGAAAGGGGAGGGAGCCACTGGGACTTGCACGAGGCCGGGCGGAGCCTCCGAAACGCTCGGGGTCTGCGGGGGGAGCCGGAGACCGGGGACCGGCGGCG